TGAGAGAGATGGAGCAAACAGAGCCAAATGTTAACAGATGGGGAATCAGGGTGAAAAAAATATTAGATTTCTTGATACTGTTCTTAAATGTCTTCTTAAGTTTAAAATTACTTCAAAAAATTTAAAAACATTTGGTAAGGTGCTGAGTTTATGTATTACATAAGATCTTATTGCTACCATGGGAAAGGAACTGTAGGAGATTATGAATGTGTTCAGATATCCTTATTACAAACTTGCCTGAGATGTGAGGGTTTCAGAAATTAATACATTATATTTACATAGCACCTCATAATTTACAAAAAAAACCCCAACCCCTTAATTTGTTTGTCCCTCATAACAATTCTGTGAGGCAAGAAGTTTTCTCAATTTTATAAAAAACTAAAAACAAGATCAGATGATTCGCCCAAGGTCGTAATCACACCACTGTTAAAAGGTAAACTGAGGGAGCATTTGAGGTCTTGTTCTCTAGCATATGTCATCAGTTTTGGCTCAAATAAACTCAGAAAATTTTTTGAAAAGATATACTGAAGCATATTAAAATTTTTAAGTTTATATGAGCAAAAATCCATTTGAATGGGGCAGCACCAAACTGGAAATGATTACAAGCACTCCTCAGACAGGAGCCAGAGAAAGTTTGAGAGTGGAAAAAGGAAATTTTTTGATTGGCTGTAGCTTAAAGCCTACTTAAGACATTTACAGGTTGAGATTTTGGTTCGTTTAAGTAGGCCACCAAGGTGTAAAAGGGTTGAAGAATGAAAATTCAGCTGAATATAAATTTAGAGATCTAATTGGCTTTATTCAGTGATTCATAAATCAGGCAGCATTTTATCTATTAAATAGAAAGGTGCCCACAGAAGCTGGACAAATGTAAGGCTTTTAGAGGCAGAAATAGGGGGAGGAGGAAACAAGGAAGTTAAAAGAATGGATTATTTTAGGCAAGGTCACTTTCTCTTAGGGGAAAACATCAGCCAGATTATCTCACTAGTGTGACTAGGAAATTCCAGACTGATTGCTTTAAAACTGCATTCCTGGGAAAGTCTGAAACTGCAATTAGGTTAGGTTTTAAGTCTTGGTGGGGATTAGAAAAAGTGACTCCATTTTGGGCCTTTTTAAAAAAAAAAAAATGAGCCCCCTCTTTGTTTAATTAATTTAACACTTAACTAATTTAACTAATTTAATTAATTTAACTAATAAATGATTAGTTCAGACTCTGATCTAGGTTTTTTGACTAATAATGTGATCCTTCGTGGCAGCAGCAAACAATAATATGAGTTGGCTTTAAACAAAATTGCAACATCCTTTCTACCATTTGGTCTTACTATTAGGGTCAAAATGAAGTTTTGGTAAGAAACTCTAAAAGCTCCAGGTATGAAGCCCACTACCACTCTTTCTCTGCTGTCCACCCCACCACAACCACCATGGGTCCCCAGATCTCCATAGGGGCTTCAATTTCCCTTGTGTACCTTCAAGCCAGTACCTGGGGAACAGGGTCAAGAGAAAGCTTTCAATTTTTGCTCTAGGATAACCTCTTGGAGGACATTTCCCACCAGCAACTCTCAGACCAGGACTTCACATGGAAAAATCTCACTCTTTGTTATTATTGCCCAAACACGTAATGCCCAATCATACATCCTCAACCTGCTGACCAATCACAGTCATTTTTTTTTTTTTTAAATAAAGTTCCCGCTGGGCTCCTACAGATGCTTCTCCTCTCAGCCTTGGTTAAGAGTCCCACCTCCACCCCGACCACCCAACTGTAAAGCTGGAATGGACTTTAGATCTGACAGTGGCTCACAGCAGCATACTAAGTCCACTTTCTCATGCTCTATCTGTAGGGGCTCAAGACCTTGAGCCTTGAGACTAGAGACCCTGAATGACTTGGGCACCCCCAGTTTGCATGTCTCTATGTTGGGCCTTCAGTTTCCAAAACACAGAATTATAGGACGATAAAGCTGGACAGACTTTCGGAATCATTTAGTCCTGACCATTCATACATTTCATTGGATGATTATGTGATTGTTCCAATGGCTCAGAGGCTCTACTCTCCTCTTTCTCTCTTGGGTAAAGGAATTAAGGTCAAGCCAGGCAGATGCAGGACTTGCCATCAACATGCCCCTTAATTCCGGTATTGCTGAGCAAGGGCTTCCATCCCAGCCTCCCTGATCCAGCCAGCTGTCAGACGGTGGGTTAGGATGGCAGAGGAGGAGGGTGATGTGGACGAAGAGGATGTGTTCCTGGCTTTTGCCCAGGGTCCTTCTCCTCCTAGGGGTCCCATACGTAGGGCCTTGGACAAGGTCTTCTTTATCTTCCTGGCCCTTTTTCTCACACTGCTGATGCTGGAGGCTCTTTATAAACTGCTGTGGCCACTACCGTGGGCAAAGTTTGGGGACTGGCTCCTGGGAACACCTCAGAAGGAGGAGGAGCTGGAATTATGACCAACCTTCCTATAAATATCCTCTTACCCTGCCATGGAGGTGAGAGGGGAGATGCGGGGAAATGGGACTGTTTGGGGCTGTGGAGGGAACACCTGGATAGCTTAAAGCAACTATCTTAAAATTTCTGTATCTATATTCCAGGAAATAATTTTGAAAATGTTTGTATTCCTCACATATTTTTAAGTGAGCATCTAAAATTTTTCATCATAATTAAAATTGTTTCAAAGATGGAATTCCTGGAATATCAAAAATATTCGCATTTTAAAATAAAACAATTAAATCGCCCTTTTGAATATACACAGGAACTGAAATATCAGAGTGACTTGATATCTATTACCAGCCATTTGAAAACACATAAATAAGCTCTTAAGAATTGGAAATCATTCCTTTTCTCCTTTCTCTCCTTTCTCCTTGAACTACTTCCCCAGAGACCATTTTATACTTTTATACTTGAAAGCCTGAGATGAAAAATATTTTTTTCTTATGATCGAAACTCTAGCTAAAAAAAAATTCTTCAGGGTTATCATTACAATTATTATGAAAGCAGAACTGATCAAATAGCATGAAGATTGTACACATTTTTATAATCATTAAAAATAAAAATGTTTTAATGATATAGACAAGGTGATGTTTATGGTGCCTTGATGAAAGAACTAGTCTACGTATCTCCTTATTTAAGACAAAAGAAGACTGAAATCCAGGAGATTTCATGGTTGAGAACTATACTTAAAAAAAAAAAAAGATGGAGAAAGTATATTGTAAAGGGGAAAGGAAAAAAAGAACCTCTACTGCAAGCATTTACTCAGGAAGACAAATTTGGGGAAAGTTGAAGATCTGGCAATTACATCCCTCGTATCTCTCAAGACCGAGTGCTCTTTGGAGACTTTTCATCTTCCCCAACTTGAAGACTGTGTAGGCTTAGACGACTGGAAGGAAGTGGTGTGGGATTCTTTAATGGAAGGGAGGGTTTGAGGTTCTGGAATCCTGAGGGCTTGGAGACGTAGAGACCTCTGCGGTCTTAGAAAGTGACAGGATGCTCGCCACTTGTGGAATGCACAAGGATGCATGAAGTGGGGATCTCAGCGGTGGACTCAGCCTTGCCTCCACGAGTCCCTCCAGCCTCCCTAAAACTTGGAGAGGTGGGATTCGGATGAGGCGGGTGTCCAAGTCGGTTTCTTCTCTGTTCGTTCTTTCCTCAGCTCTCCCACAGGAAGAGGAGGCGAGATCCGAAGTATTTTCCGAGCCTCATTTCGTCTCATCCCTCACAGCGGCAGTTCGCACAGGTTCTCCTCAAAGCCCCGCCCCATATCGCCTGACCTTAGGCCCTGGAGCTCCTGGACAAAGCATGGCTTCTGGATCATCACCGCCCGCGCCTCAAGGACCCTCTCCAGAAAAGTACGGAGAACCACCTAGGTCCCACCTGCTTGGATGGTCATTAGTCCTGTGGTGTGGTGAAGCTTGAAAAGCAAATCAACAACTATAGCAATAATAATAATAACAACACATTGTATAGCGCGTTGCGATCATTTGTGTGCATGTGTTTTGATTTCACAATTGGGAGGCGTAGGAACCTGGATGTAGAAGTAGCTGCTGGACAGCGGCAAGGGAGCGCGCAGCCCGTGGAAGGACAGGGGCAGACCCCATCGATTAAGCCGTGGAAACGGGTACTGGCAGGTAGGAAAGCAGCGCGGAAAGGCTTGTCAATAGCCCATCAGAAGGAAAAGGTTTTATTTCCCTCAAAAAAGACTTCCGCCCCTCCGTGCACCGCCTTGGAGGGCCCAATTCCTCTGCTGCTCTGTTTCGTTCCCCCCTCCCCTAATTGGAGAGGTGGCTCAATCCTCACTGCGCGCGACTCTCCACCGGTTGGGCCAGATGCAGGAAGTTTCTGATTGGCCGAGTCGAAGAAGCGCCGGGTGAAAAGAGCTCCACTGGCGGCGCTCTGGAGTCAGGGCAGAGTCGATATCGTACGGGAAAATGGTGGCCCCCAATAACTTAGGGACGCTCCGCGGGGATAAGCTTGCTCCCTACAGGTCAGGAGAAAGGTAGCCGCCGTACTATAGCCAGCATTTAGAGGCGTTCAGAGGTCGGGCCTGCCGTCACTTCCGGCCACCGGGGGACTGGGTTCCGTACGACAATATGGCCACGCTTAGGTGCCTGTAGGCGGAAACTCTGAGGCTTCCGGTCCAGAAGAGGGCCTGCGGTGGGAGGGGGAAGGAAGGCGGAGGGAACCATGCGAGCTTCTGATATCCGCGGTGAGGGTCGCCTCGAGAGGCCGTTTCTGAGGTGGGGGCCGGACGGTGCGGGGATCGAAGGCGAGGGCGGGAATGTTGAGGGAGAGGTATTAAGGAGTCCCAGGCGCTGAGTCTGAGGGGCAAGCTGTGGTACTCTCCTTATCCCTGAAGGGGAGTGGGGCGGGCGGGGGCTGAACTGGGGGAGGGGGACTTGGCGGGAAGCTCATCTGAGGGGAAGGGGCTGGACTTAGGGTTTGGATTCGAGAGGAATCGGGAAATCTAAGTGCAAGGCTCACAGTCGGTAACAGGTCACGAGAGAGAATGGGGAAAATTAGGGTGGGGTGAGAGGGAGGGGATTCGAGGTGAAATACCTTCGACTAGCGAGTTTGAGACCCGTCAGGGGGTGGAATATGTAGATAATTCAGAAAGGGGAATGTATTGTTGGGAGGGAACTTTCTTCGCCTCAGAGACTCTAGGAGTTGGGGTGATCCTTCAGGATGGGGTGAGTGTGTGGATTTATCGTGTTTGAGAGCGAAAGGGGGAAAAACACGTGAGGTGGTGCTGACAGGGGTGTAGTACCTGTTCCTGGGGATGTCAGTGAAATCTGGAGTGCATTGTGGGAGGTGATCCGGAGTTGGGAGGAAAAATAAACTTGCCAACTAGGAGAAATAGTGGGGAAACGCAACTGAAAGACCGGATATCGATGTGAGTGGTGGAGCTAGGGGTGGAGACTTGAGGTTGATTTGGGGCTCTCTAGTAAAGGGCCCAAAAAACATGGTACTAATGGTTGCTGAAGATAGGCAGTGAGGACACTATTGGGCTGGATGTTACTGAAATCCAAGAAGACTGGAAAATGTGTGAGTTGAAGGGATGGGGCTATGCTAAAAGAGCTCTTTCTAAGGCCCCATCCCTTTCTAGCAGGAATTTCGAAATCCCCAACACTTCCTCCTTCCGGGGGATTTGATCCCCCATGGCCACCGCTAACAGCATCATTGTGCTGGATGATGATGATGAAGATGAAGCAGCTCAGCCAGGGCCCTCCCACCCAGCCCCCAAGGAGGCCTCAGCCTCACCCCAGGCAGAAGCCCCTGGCTCCTCGCAGCCCCATGGTGCGGAAGGAAGCGGCAAGAAATGCTACAAATTGGAGAATGAGAAGCTGTTTGAAGAGGTGAGCTTTAGGGGAGAAGATTCTTGTACCCCCCGGTGGGGGGCGGGGGCTGACTGGCTCTCCTGTCCTTTCTTCCCCACTAATCTCACCTTGCCTTCTTTTTCTCAACCCCCTCCCTTCTTCTGAATCCTCCAGTTCCTTGAACTGTGTAAGGCGCACACAGCAGACCACCCTGATGTGGTTCCATTCCTCTATAAACGGCAGCAGCGGGCCCACTCTCTGTTTTTGGCCTCAGCGGAGTTCTGCAACATCCTGTCTCGGGTCCTATCTCGGGCCCAGAGCCGGCCAGCTAAGCTCTATGTCTACATTAATGAGCTCTGTACTGTTCTCAAGGCGCACTCAGCCAAGAAAAAGCTGAACCTGGCCCCCGCTGCCACCACCCCTAGTGAGCCCTCTGGTAGTAACCCTTCCACAGACCCCTCCTTAGACCCCACAAATGCGGAGACCACTGGCTCTGAGGCCCCAAGGACCCGTGGTTCCCGGCGGCAGATCCAGCGCTTGGAGCAGCTGCTAGCACTCTACGTGGCGGAGATTCGGCGGCTGCAAGAAAAGGAGTTGGATCTCAAAGAATTGGATGACCCAGACTCCACATACCTGCAGGAGGCAAGGTTGAAGCGGAAGCTGATCCGCCTCTTTGGGCGGCTGTGTGAGCTAAAAGACTGCTCTTCACTGACAGGTCGCGTCATAGAGCAGCGCATTCCCTACCGAGGCACCCGCTACCCAGAGGTTAACAGGCGCATTGAGCGGCTCATCAACAAGCCAGGGCCTGATACCTTCCCTGACTATGGAGATGTGCTGCGGGCTGTAGAGAAGGCAGCTGCTCGGCACAGCCTTGGCCTCCCCCGGCAGCAGCTCCAGCTCATGGCCCAAGATGCTTTCCGAGATGTGGGCATCAGGTTACAGGAGCGACGCCACCTTGATCTCATCTATAATTTTGGCTGTCACCTCACAGATGACTATAGGCCAGGTAGGGATTAGTAAAATACCCATCGGTAACCCTTGTATGTCACGTGTGTGTAGAGGGGCAATATCTCGAGTCCCTTCTAGAGTTTGAGCTGAGTACTCTAATTCTTATATCTTCCCACATAGGCATTGACCCCGCACTGTCAGATCCCGCCCTAGCCCGGCGCCTGCGGGAAAACCGGAGCTTGGCTATGAGCCGACTGGATGAAGTCATCTCCAAATATGCGATGATGCAAGACAAGAGTGAGGAGGGCGAGAGACAGAAGAGAAGAGCTCGGCTACCCCAAGCCACCTCTTCCCATTCCACAGACCCCCCTAAAGCCTCCTTGGATTCTGGTGAGGTGTGGAAGGGATACACCTTTCAGAGAAACCTTGGTCTTCCCCTGCACTGGCCACAGAGAATCCAGGGTGATTGATGGGGGAGTGTGCAGAAGGAACACAACTAGATCCTCTAGGACAATGGATTCTTTAGAGCAGTGGTCCCCGACCTTTTTGGCATCAGGGACTGGTGCTCCTATGAGAATCTAATGCCTGATGAGCTGAGGTGGAGCTGAGGTGGTGATGCTAGTGCTGGGGAGCAGCTGTAAATACAGATGAAGTTTTGCTTGCTCACCAGCCACTCAACTTCCTGCTGTGTGGCCCAGTTCCTAATAGGCCACAGACCAGTTCCAGTCCATGGTCCAGGGGTTAGAGAGCCCTACCTTAGAGAAACTCCTTTGTCTCCCAGGGCCCTAGTGGAATGGCATCCCAGGAGTGCCCTACCACCTCCAAGGTTGAGACAGATGATGGGGAAGATGAAGAAAGTGAGGAAGAGGAAGAGGAGGAGGTCACAGATTCTGAAGAGGAGGAGGATCTGGAACAGATGCAGGAAGGTCAAGGGGATGATGAAGAGGAGGAGGAGGAAGCAGGTATGTAAAGCAAAGCCTCAGTTCTCTCTGTTGGCCATGAGCCACCTGTTTGAGACCCTTCCCTTCCTCTTACTCCTAGTGTCTTCGCAGCAGTATTTCCCCTTGTTTTCATGCTACCCTTCCCTCTTTTCTTCTTTTCCAGGTAAAGATGGAGACAGGAGCCCCATGTCCCCACCACAGATCTCCACTGAAAAGAACTTGGAACCCAGCCAAGGGATCAACAGGTCTTCAGGGGAACAGCAAAACAAAGGACTTAGAGTGTCATCATCTCCACTGTCAGAAGAGCCCCTGGCTACCTCCAGTATAGATGCTGAAAGCAATGGGGAATACCTTGAGGAGTTGCCCTTGGAGAAAGAGAGCCCTGTGTCTCAGGTCTTTGAGCTAGAGATTGAAGCCTTGACTGTGGATACCACCCCTTCCCCCGAGGAAGGAGACATTTCCTCTTCCAGGAAGCAATCAGAGGACCCCCTCACCACTGTCCTGGAGAATGGAGCAGCCATGGTCACCTCAACTTCCTTCAATGGAGGTGTCTCTCCTCATACCTGGAGAGATTCCAGTCCCCCTTGCAAGAAATCTCGGAAGGAGAGGCAAATGGGAGCAGGGCCAGTAGGAAACAGGTAACAAGGAGGAAGAAGAGGGAAGCCAAGGAGGGATTGCAGGGGGCTTTCTGAAAAGAGTAATGAGGAACTGAGTCTGCTGGGAGAGACCGGACAGTCCCCCTCCAGTTTCAGGCTCCCTACTTTTATGTTTCTGTCCTTAGCTTTGTGGAAGGGCATGAGAAGACTGGGAAGAAGATATGTACCCTGCCCCACCCACCTTCCCCCTTGGCTTCCATGGCCCCAGTTGCTGATTCCTCAACGAGGGTGGACTCTCCTAGCCATGGCTTGGTGACCAGCTCCCTCTGTAGCCCATCTCCAGCCCGGTTGACCCTAAACCCCCAGTCAAAACCCTCCCAGTCTGGTACTTACAAGGTAAGAGTGGGAGGCTGTTTTTACAGACTTCGACTTCATTCTCTTTCAATGTCTGTTCAGTTTTAGGTGCTCCCTCTGAATCTTGCACCTCCCCCCTCCTCTCTCTTCCTTTTTCCCCACCCCAATTTTTTTATCTGATAAGCTCTTCCCTATGTTTTCCCCCATATATTCCAGACTGACTTTTTGTCTTTCACTCCTTGCAGATGAGTGTGGCCACACAATGTGATCCAGAGGAGATCATCGTGCTCTCAGACTCTGATTAGCTGCCTCCCCTGCCTCCAAAGTGACAGAGGGCGGGATGGACTGAGCTAATCCCCTTTTGGTGGTGTTTCTTTAAACAAAAAAAACAAGTTTTACACAGAAACGTTAATAAACAATAAAGTTCTTTTCTTATTGTATCCTTGTCTTTTCTTTGTCTTTCTCCCCTCACCGATTGGCCCCAGCTGTTCTCTGGCTCATGGTTAGCCCGGCCCCGGGATAGCCCTGTATCTGTCCTTTATAGCCTGCCCTTAGCCCGTCTCTTGGCGTTTTCTCGCCCTCAGGCTTTCCCCTTGCCCTTTGCCAGTCACTGAAAAAAGTGTTTCAGCCTCCTGAACGCGCTTTACTTTCTCACTTCGAGCGGTAGGAGTAAAAAGGCCAATCAGGGGCCGACTCAAGGTTATTCGGCCAATCCAGGCACGGAGGAAGGGGGCGGGGTTTCAGGGGGACTGTCAAGCTAAAAGACGAGGGCGGTTAGGTTCCGCAAACCAGCTAATGGCCACAGCACGGATGGCCAAGACCCGTTGCCAATGGGAAGAGACAGGCTTACAGAATTAAAGGGGAATGAGTGCTTCGGCCAAACCAAGTCTTGAGTCCTCAGCGGCGGAAGAGACATGGTACCTTTAAGGTGGAACGAAGCGACCGTTTTTTAAAGGAAAAGTGGTAGAGTCGGCCTAGTATTGCCCATCGGCAAGGGCGGGGTGCCGGCCTGTGCCTTTAAAGCTTGTGGGACGGGAGGCGGGGCGGAGGCGGAGGGCGGAGGGAGTCGGC